GGAGGATCAGAAAAGGGAGCTCCAGGAAGGTGGAAAGTACCAGGGAAATCATAAAGAGAATGAGCCCAGGAAAATGACCCCATAAAGTTGTTGATAAACTTTTAGGCTCACCTTTGAGCTGCAGAGGCACAGATAGCATATGAATGACTTTGAGAACGGAACAAACAGATCAGGTCCTAGACTGGCCAATGCATGGAACACGTGAAAGACAGATCGAAATAGCACTCCAAATACACCAAACCACAAAACAAGAATGTGTTTTAAAACTGGTGATCAGACCTAACAGGGTTGATTGTCTACTAAAATAAAATATCAATATTTTCCATAGGATTTAAACAAGACTCAGAGTCTTATAACATAATACGTAAAATGTCTAAGATATAATCCCAAATTACTTGGCATACAAAGACCCAGGAGATCTCAACGCATATGTGAAAAGACAATCAACAGATGGAACATTGAGGGAACAAGAATGACGGAATTAAGTAATAAACACTTAGAGGCAGCTGTCAGTGAAATTCTCCAATGAACAATTATGAACACTCGTAAATCAAAAAATAGAACGTCTCTGCAAAGAAACAGAAGATATAAAGAAAAATAACATGGAAACATTAGAGCTGAAAAATACAACTGAAATGAAAAACTCACTGGATAGACTAAATGGCAGAATGGAGATGACAAAAGAACAATCAGGGAATTGTGGATGAATCAACAGAAATTGTTCGATCTGAACAACAGAAGGAAAAAAGATTTTAAAAGATGAAAAGTTTCCAGATCCTATGAGAGAATTAAAAAAATCCCAACATTCATGTCATTGGAGTCTCAGAAGAACAGAAAGAGTGTGAGGCTGAAAAGAAAAAAAAAAAATGTTAACAAATAGTGGCTGAAAACTTCCCAGATTTGAAGAAAGCTATAAATGTACAGATTCACAAAGCTCAGTAAATGCCAAACACTATAAACGCATTGAAATCCATACCCAGAAACATCATAGTAAAAATGCTGAAAACTAAAGATGAAAAAAAATTGTTAAAGTATTCAGAGAAAAATAATTACCTGTATGGGAAAAATTTTTGTTTTGAAATAGTATTAGATTTACAGAAGAGTTGCCAAGATAGTACAAAGTGTTCCCATAAAACCTTCACCCATCCTCTGATATTAGCCCTAAAGGTCCACAAGGAAATCTTCTGGATGACCAGGGTCCAGGGGAATAAGGAATGAGTGTCTGGTGTCCAGGAGCAGGGTCCCTCCGTGAGGCCAACTCCATCCCGATGCAGCAATTCCTCCACACATGCAAGACAAAGCTTGTCTCGGTGTTCCTTGCCCTGTCAGATGTTCAGCCCCTTCTTTTGAGTCAACCCTCTCACAAGAATGCCCCAAGCTTTTCCTTCAGAGGTCAGATGTTATAGAAAAGTCCCAGAGGAAAGTCCTGAGAGGGAACACCCTGTACTTTTCTTCTCTGAAAGCGAGGACAAACCTCAACAGGAGTTCACTCTACCAAGGAAATTTGCTGGCCCAGCACATCCAAAACTGGCAGGAAATGTCTACACCAAGTGCTGGATTCAATCTTCTGTCCACAGAACCAGAAAATATAAGTGAATCACCTTCTAAGTAGACCCCAGCTTCCAATGAGCATACTCCTGAAATATGGAACCACAGCAAAATGTTTTACCATTCTGCTAAAGTAACTGATATTTTTCTCTTTTATTGCTATTAACTAAGAAGTTTTACCATGGCTCAAATGGAAATTTGATATAATTATGTCTTAGGTTAAAGTTTTACAACCATAGATTATTTAAGTGTAAATCTTATAAATTAATTGCTTCCATTTTATTCTGTTTGTAGAAAGGGTGATTACAGTATCTTTGTCCTTAACAATACCACTAAATTAATTCAGAAGCATAGTGATAATATATTTTGATCTTTCTTCTAAAATAGGTTTGAGTTTTTTCTCTTAGGGCTTTATTACTATTTGAGTGATTACACAATACCTCTGATGAAAACTTCATGGGATTATTGTTCTTAGGATAATGTTTTATAAATGTGTATTCTATAAATATGAATCTATTCATAACTTACTTCCTTTTTGATTTCCAGAGAGCACATAGTATTTCTGTTATTTAATGTCTCTCCTATTGATCCAGAAACAGAGCAATTTTTTCTTTCTTCTAAATTTAGAAATTTCTCTCATATTGTTTCACTGCTGTGCTTAAGTCATGATACACTCACTCATATGGAAGTTTGACAAGATTATACCTCTTAGGCTAGTGTTTGATAAAAGTACTTAAAAGTGAGTTTCATGAGTAAACTGTTAACTTTTATTTCTAGAAAGTGAAGGATAATATTTCAGTTGATGATATTTAAAACGCCTCCCCTAACATGAACTGTGGACAGTCTTACACAGGCAATCAACAGAGACATCTATTGGAGACATCTGAAATTCACAGTCCATCTCTGCGTGCCATTGGACAAATTTACTCTAATTAGACTAATGTATTTACCTAAGTAAATTTCAGTTTAAAAGAAAAAGCCTCTGATAACTCTCATTGCACTTAGCGTAAAATCTAGACCCCTCTGTGGAGCACAAGGCCCTGCAGGACCCATCTCATGCCCACTGTGTTCCAGTCACTCTGTCCTCTGCACAGCCTCAGCACACCAAGCTCTTTCCACCCTTTCATTCACGCTCTTCCCAACTCTGCCTGAAATGCTATCCCCTCTCTGTGCCTCTCTGTCCCACACCTTTGGAGCAGCTTTCACTAATTTCCCAGTTAAAATTAGTTCCTCCTGTTCTTTTTCATCACACTCTATGCCTTTTTACTTTGTATTAAGACACTTATCACAATGTGCAATTGTACAATTATGATTATTTGTTGAATGTGTATATCCATATCTCCATGTCGTTAGAGATTGAGTCCACTTTTTGTTCAATTAGTGTAGCCAGTGTTTTCAAAGCAGCAAGGGGGTATTTATGGCATTGCATGGGGTATTTTTTCTTGTGCAGGTGTATTAGGTTTTGTTCAGTAACAAAGCACAAAGCACCACTTCCCAGTGACTTGCAGACATTTATTTCTCATTCATGGGTCTGTGAATGAGCTGCCGCCTGCCTGGTCTTGGCTGGGATGGAGTTGTAGGTCAGCTTCATTCTCTCGGTTCTGTTTGTTATTCAAAGGCCCAGGCTGAGGACAAAGTGACCACCTGGACGTGGTCCTCTCGTGGTGGACCGCACAGCACAGGAGGGGCAGCAGAACACAGGCTGCTTCTCACAGCCTCGACTCAGAACCGTCTTCCCTATTCCACTTGTCAAAACTAGCTAGAGGCCCCAAGAAATGCGATGGAGAAATCAACCCCACCCATCAGTGAAAACCCCAAAGGACCGAGCATCTCCAAACACCCCCAAGGGAGCTGCTCTGTAACCGCCTGGCATCCCACACTTCATGCCACAAGCCCCATAGCCCAGGCCTCACAATTCTTAGAAACAGGTTCCACTCAGGAGGCCATAGGAGTCCCAGGTGAGGAACAATGTGCTCCGAGTGTCAACCAGCAGAGTTGTCAGCCAGGAGTCCCACACACAGAATGACAGCCATTCCTGGTGTGAGAGGAAGAAAACTTCCATCAAGGGTCTTGGGTCCGTACAATTCAGGAAGGCTGACACTTCACAAGATGGCCTTATAAAGCCTCTGGGTATCGAGTCCTAGGTTGTCACTTATTTGCAAGCTGATACTTATTGAGAGCTTCATGGCTGCTGGGAGGAACACTTTTAAGGGTGGTGACAACAGGCGAGGTCTCATGTCTGGGTCAGGCCCTTCCTTGTGGCTTCCCATCCCTCATTCCTCCTTTCCACGGAGTTGTCCCTTTCATTTACTTTTTAACTCATCTCCATGGCCCCTGTGACTAAGCAAGGGACAGCCAGGCAGAGCCCAGGTGACATGAGTATAAAACAAATGACAGAAGAGGATTAACTGATACAAAACCAAGATGTCAGGAATCTGTCACCTGAGAAACAAGTTCTAATGCTTGAGAACTCTTTTAAGCTATTTTAATTTCGTCAGATTAGTCAAAATGTGGGAAGACGTCACCTAGTCATATGTAAAAATATATGTATTATCTGCCTACTTGACATAAATATATGCAGAATGAGCAGAAAACCCCACATGTGGTTTGGGAGAAGGGGGAGACCAGAAGCAGACCAGGAACCACTTCTGAGTGCTAGCCATGTCCACACCCTGTGCCACCTGCAGCGACAGCTCTACTGCTTGACATAACCCGATGATATAGTACTATTATGATCCCCCTATAAAATCAAGACACGGGCAGGATTGAAGTGTAATTTTAAGAGCTATGCAAACAAAAATAAATCAAGCAGGATATCAAGTATGATAAGCATGAACTTTGACGAGAAATACTTTGCTTCCACCCCTGCCACGTGAACACACTACCTGTGGGCACTGGTCATTTAGCACCACTGAGCTACTGTGAGCTAAGCACTAACCTGGGCATTATTTCACTTAGTCCTCACAACTGCCCTAATAGGTGCTTTCCTTACCTCCATTTCAGAGAATAAGAAGCAGAGGTCTGGAGAAGTTAAACTATTTACCCAGCATTTGAACTGGGTATGTCCGACTCTAGAATTACTTTCCATCCTGTCTCCTTCATTAGGTCTACTAATGCCCATTCTTTTGTTAACACCAAAAAAAGATGTGTGTAAATGCACCTTGGGAAACATTAAACCAACACCAATTAATATTTACAAAATCAACTGAAGCCGTATAGAATTTCCTTTAGAAAATAAAGCCAATCATAATACCACTTCTTAAAACGTTTACCTAGGTGCCTGTTACAAGTATTGTTTTATGCAATATTCATAAAAGCCCACGAGGAAGGTCCTGCTCTTATTTTATGATAATAAATTACGCGTGTTCTTGCGAAATGCTGTTAAATGAGTGTGATAAAGCGACGTGTCGCTTATCATAACGTGGCGCGGTCTTGCCGTCCAGCTCCTGTACCTGGGTGAGCAGAAAACGCAGGAGCGGGAACTTCCCAGGTCCAGGCGTCAGCCACAGGCCCAGCCACCGCGTCAGACGTTTCAACAGCAATGGAGCCATTACTTTTACTGAACAGGGATCTGAGAACAGGGCCGAGTTAGCAGAGCTCTCCGAGGGAGCCTAAAACGAAAGTGAGCCCAGTCTCACGACTGCCACAGATGGGCTACCGCCCCCCTGCCCCCAACCCCGACTTTTCCTTGTGTCGAGGAAATGTGGGGACGCAGGCCTGGCTAGATCCAGAGCCCGAGGGGGAGAGCCCTTTCTCCTGGACGACTGCGATTGCCCCTTGCACGCCAAATCAAAGATGTCACTTTTTTCACTTGTTCAGCAAACGTTTACCGCGCACCTACCATTCCCCCATAAACAAAATGCTACAGAGACACCCGCCAAGACAGTACGTCTTCGAGCGTTCGTCCCAGTGCCAGCCGGTGTGCGCGGACGGCGAAGCTGCCCTGGGCGAACGCCGGGAGCCA